CTTGAACTGGAGTATTTATGACCTGCTACATGTGACATGGTGCTGCTATTCTGTTGATTTCACAATCTATTAGAAGGAGAGGTAGATTATTTCTTGAAATAAAACTATCATTGAGATTAGATTGTTTTCATTACTAGGCAGGGAGGTAACCGAAATGTGTTAATTAGAGATGAATAACATATAACATTATATTTAAGAATCGATGATAGCCTGTGACCTTCGTAGTCGCCTACGACCCTTACTTGTATATGACATATCCCAGATTTGATTGTAACATATTGAAGACTCGACGACAACTTCCGTCCTTCATACCGAACGATCACCGCCGACCACCATAGGCCATCACCATCAACCGCCAGCCATTATCGACCACTGCTTACGACCATCATAGTTATGATAAAATTGTAATTGTAATATCATATTTTCTAATTCAATAGAGGAGTGAACTTATATACTCACAGTTACATAGCTATTTATTTTAATTTGGTCAATCCCTGTGATTTTTTTCTTTTCGAGAATATTTTCAAGTAAGAATTCTTGGAGTCTCCTCCCACTTTCTTTCAATTATTATCGCATGTATCAAATCTCCATGCTACACTAAAATGTTAACTCATGACTTCACCGTTAAGAATTTTCCAGCACGTAACAATCATAAATGCTGCCGGTCTTATTAAATTTGAACTAAAACTTGTATAACATCAGTTAATATACAATATAAACTCTTGTTGACCTCCTAGAGCAATAAACTAACTCATTAGCTCATTTACAAATCAAGTTGAGTTGAGTTGAGTTGACCGGGCCAATTCAATTTAGACTCTAAATTGTATAATTTTCGTATTGTCGGATTTATCTTGATATAATTATTCCCTTAATGTGAGTCATTGTATAATGTCCGAAATTTAGTTCCGAATTTTAAAGCATATGATGAAGAGTGCATGATACATCATGCAAACAAAATGTATCATTTATTAACACATTTGGCGTTTTCTAGCACGAACTGATTAAAGTTGTAATTTAATAAAGATGCTGCGCAATTTCGTAAGTTTAACGACGATGTCAATGCCAACAGTGCGTAGCAAAGTCGTGACATATTTTACACGAAATATATTATTTAATGCCACCGACCGATTTTCAGATTAAACTTTCTTAGATGATTTATGGGCTTTCTATGTAAATATAAAAGTTTTGGTATATTATAATGTAAATAGATATATTTACAAAACAAGCTTTAAATATGATTTGAATGGCTAAATTGCAAAAGAGAGAGAAGGATTGAAAAATTAATAAATTCAAACTTAACTTAGGGTCCGTTTGAGGCAGTTTATTTGGTGCGGCGGCGTTTTGAAAACGCACCTGGACTGTTTGGTTAAACTGTGTTTTGGCAACTTATGCGTTTTGAAAACGCTAAAAGAAGTTTTTTCACACCGCATCTATCTAGGTGCGGTGACAGCTTTCTGACAGCGGTCTGAATTTTTCAAAAAATTAAAAATTTCTAATAGCCATCGCACCCAGCTTATTAGCAAATTATTTTTAATCAGCTTATCAGGAGATTATTCAATAAGTTGCAGCTGCCCGAACAGACCCTTAAGCTTTGATCAAATGTTCACTGAATTTGACCAACCTTAAGCTTTGATCAATATAAAATTAAGGAGGAAATGTAGAATTTGCATCTGGGAAGTTCCTTTGGAAATAAATGAAAAGAATTTAGAAAGAAACCAACCGAGAGAAAACTTTAGACTATTGGGTTTAGTACACCTCATCAATTAGGCAGATTTTCTAAGCGCCATCCATTTGAGCGCTTTGATTGCGCAGCTAACTCAATTTATATAAGAATACTATTAAATGTGCCCACTTTTAAATATTTGTCCACATTTGCTTATTTTAAGAGTTTGTTTGAGATGGTTTCAGCTTTTGGGGAAGTGATTGCAAAGCTTTGATGGAGAAAAAGTTTATTAGAAACTTTTCAATACAAAAATCTCTAGGAAACATTGAGAAAAGAGTTCATCAAATTGAACTGTGATGACAGTCTGAAATGCAAAGCAGATAGAAAGTTATGTGAAAGAAATCTAAAGTATGAGAACTTTTTAACAATAGCTATTTACAGTATTCAATATCTATTTTAAATTTTTATTTTAGAATGAGTTAAATTACAGAGACAATAGAGGGGAATATTCGATAGATCGTGTTTATTTCAAAACGGGTCAAATAATGTTGAAAATAATGTGACAATTAATTGAAATTATTGATAACAATTAATAAACTGTTAACATAAAAATACATGAAAGACTTTAAGCAAATTCTCTCGATTGTCATTTCTTATGCTATCTCCCTTACAGGTTTCATTTTAAACATGCCTCTTTTAAGGAGCTCATAGTTTAAATTTTAAGATATTAAACATAATTAATGAAGTAAAAAAATTTGATCCGACATCAAATCAACATGAACCAAACTCAAAAAATCTGAGTTTAGCTTGACACGATTAATTTTTTGGGTCGAGCAAGAAATTCACAACATTTTTGTAAGTCATGTTCCGGTTGACCTGTCAATTTAAAATTGACCTAAAACTAACTAAACTACAAAAAATTGACACTCAAACTGAATATCGACTTGAGTTCCACCTGAATTTGCAAAGCAGATAGAAAGTTATGTGAAAGAAATCTAAAAAGTATGAGAACCCAAATAGCTTATTAAATTGGTTTTGCAGGTCAGATTTGGATCCGTCAGTTCGAAGGTGAGTCATATTCTAACTGGACTTTCAAACATGTTTCATAATTGAGTCAGGTTCCTGTCAAACCCGAACCTACCCGCGAACCCAATCTGACACCCCTAAATATGACAAGACCATCCCTTCTAGTTAGATCTTTCCAAAATATTCTTATGGAGTAACTCAAAAATATTGAATATTTAGGGTTTATAAGAAACCCATGTTGTGCTCATGCTGAAGGACTCCAAATAATTTTCAGACATAATGGCATGTCCAATAATTAAATTCATTTCTGAGGACAAAAATATTATACTACGTTAGGCATGGATTAAATGCAGTAATATATTATTTTTGTCAATAGTTTGGCATAAAATGTTCTTCCAAACGAGCATGGAATCAACATGGACTGGCTTTTATCCAACTTGCATGTCACGCACCAAAAAAATTGGAATTTACTCGAATTTATTTTCATATGATTTCTTATTTATAGTGAAGCATGAAATATGTTAGTTAAAGTTGAAAAATGGAGTTTGTAACTGACCTAACGGGTTCGTGAGATGGTTTGGGCCGAGCTCCATAAGTGACTCATGAGCTAAGCTCAATGAGCTAACAAAATGAGCTCGAGCTAATCATGCATGACTCAACACCTTAACTCACGAGCCAGCTCTTTAAATATACATATATATATTAAAAAAAAATAGAAATCATATTTATATTTAATGATAAATGATTTCTTATTATTTATTTTCTAATTATTCACTATATTTATTATTGATTATAATACTAACTCGAATTAATATTATTTTTCATGTTTTATGATAACAAAAAGGTGGTTAGTGAGCCTGTTCCAACTAGTAAAATTAAGTTGGAGCACAAGCTCAAATTTGAATAGTTGGTGGTTAGTGAGCCTGTTCCAACTAGTAAAATTAAATTGGAGCACAAGCTCAAATTTGAAATCGTACTCAAATTCACTTAATGAAAAGTGGAAAGGGAGCTTAGGAGTCACGGCTCCACCAAAAAGTCTCGCAGGCTTGCAAGCATGTGATAGGTGTTTTAATAAAGCAAAATAGAGATTTTGACTTCATTTTGGGCCTTTCTCACTCAAAAGTTAATTTCTTCCAAATTACATCTGCCCTTATTCTTACACATTTAGCAGCTTTCATTGGTAAAATCAAGCCAAACAAGCATAAAAATAGAGAAATTTACATGCATATCACTCAATTCTTTTACACATACCCAACACCTGAACTTTCTTTTTTACACCTTTAACATTTGATGTAATAAACCTAATACGTCAAACTCCACACATTTAGCAATAAAAACAATTCATAGTATTGCAGTATATGGGGACCAGGCTCATCTCGTGTTCAGCTTGTTTATATTTCGAGCTCAAAAAGTTTGTTCGTGTTCGGCTCGTTTGCTTAGCGAGCCGAACATGAGTCGTTCACGAACAAAAAAATTTTTTGACAACCCTAATCACGTATTCATAAGATGCTAAGGATTGGGGCAAGATTTAAAACATCATTTGAATCTAAATTAATAATTTTTATTCTATTTTCTTCATTAATACTTTTAATTGATTATAAATCTTTGTAGCCCTGTAGTGAATTAATTTTTTTAAAAATAAAAATCACACACATATATATATAATTGATTAGTAGTATTTCGAGCCAAAATGAGCCGAATACGAACGAACAAATATTGTTCGTGTTATTCGTGTTTGGCTTGTTAACTTAGCGAATGAGCGGAACACGAGCTGTTTGCGAGCCGAACACGAGCTTCTTAGCGTGTCAAACACGAGCTGTTCGCGAACAACGAGCCGTTTTGGCAGCCCTACGTGTAATTCCACACCAGCAATACAAATAGATAAGTGCTCAAATGTGTGAAATAATAATAATAATAATAATAATAATAATAATAATAATAATAATAAGACTACTTCTGCCCCTGCTATAAACTCAATACATTCGTTATATAAAGCAATACGACCAACTAAAATGTTAAGCTTGTATGCACAACTAAATCCACAGCATGGGAGATGAAACTTATTAGGGACTATTTGAAGTAGCTGAGGCATCTTCATAAAGATGATTGTAAGACTAGTGAAAAAAAAAACTTCTTCTTAAAAAATTATGAGAATTATAAATATATATTTTTTCAATAAAAATTATACAATATCTATCTTATTGCTACCGCATTTTAACAATTCAGGTTGAAAAAAAGCAACTTTTACCACATAAATTTGTAGAAAATAGCACGAATGATGTCGGTTTGAAACATAAAACAGACAGAAATCTATCTCAAACAGACCCTTATTTAGCCAAAGGCAACAAAACATTGTTGCAGTTAGTCTGTTTCTTATGCATCCATGAATTAAGGCTAGACATCGAAGGCTTTAGTCTTAAAATTTGCAATATTTAATCACAATACAAGGGACGGTATAGGGGCTCATAACCTCATTGCAAAAACTGAATATCTTTCGGTATGAGACCGCGACAAAAATATCAAACCCAGTAGATCCTTCTTATAAGAAGAATGAAAATAAGAGTTATTTACTTGTTTGATAACTCAAAACTCGAAAATTCTAAGCAACGGCCTGAACAGCCCTATCAAAACTCTCCTCTGCTGAAGATATCCGTTTGACTAGCTCGTGATTAGGATGAGAGAGCTTCAACTGACTGCAAAAAATGTACAAAAAGAAAGAAATTAACAGATTTTCATTTCAGTGATGAAAACTAGAAGGCAGTGTTTGAACTTATAGCATGATTGGAAAGTGAAGCAACTGAAGAGAAATTCAATTGATTTGTGATTCCCAAACTTCAATTTTTTTTTTTTCATGATTAAAGTTTCCTTTCTCTGATTCCTGAAATCTATGAGGGCCTAAAACCTAAAATTGCAAAACCACCAATTTTTTACATCTAAATTTAATTAATAATAACTAATAGGGGAATTTACATATATAGCACTACAGACTTTTCTATTTATATATCTAACCACCCCCCAAACTCCCTTATTTGCCTACTAGAACTCAAAACTATTTTAAGCCATCAAAAATCGCATTTCGGTATCTTTACTTTTTCCGTTAAATTCTTTCTCATACAACCTCCCCTTTCTTTCTTGATCCTTCCTCTTCCTGCCGACATCACTTCTCAGCACCGCCATCTGCTATTCCTCTCCTCGTCACCAATGGGATAGAGCAAGCCACCACCGCAGGATTTCTCAGAACTGCAGCCTCTTACCAAACTAGCCTCCATAGCCATAATCGACATATCCTAATCACCATTTAAGCTGTCTTCGTATGATGAGCAACCATCTCTACTGCATAGATGAAGATATTGAGAACCTAAGCTACTTCAATTAGATTCCAGGATGCAGAAGTTGCTCACCAGAAAACTTGACCCCCTAAATCTAATGCTAGATATTGCTGCAGAACGATGTGGACGGTTGGATTCACAATTTCTTAATGGATGCAAGCAAAAGTGCTCAGGATCAGAGGTCAAAGTAACATGGAAGGATTAGCTGAACATTAACAAGTTCGGGAGACTGAAAACCTCCTCATGCTACCGCCGTCTCGCCGTAAGTATCGCAAGTATCGCCGGCCTTCCTCTCATATGCCCCCTTTATTGATCCTTGCTCTTCCAGCGATCGTCACTTCTCTTTTCGGCGAGCTCTCATTTTTTGGTGAGTCCTTGACGATCGCTAGCGTCCTCAACAATCCTTCAAGGGAGTGCTATTTTTGATGCCTTAAAATAATTTTTGGTGTTATATAGGTAAATAAGGGAGTTTGAGTGTTGGATATGTAAATAGAAAAGTTTCAAGTTCTGTGTATGTAAAACTACAAAAAAAAATTAATCATTAATTGATAAAAATTTGGTTATAGATAATAGGAAAAAATATATCAGGCTTGAAAATTCTGGTAGAAATTGCCAAACAGTTTTACATAATCTACTAAATCCACTGCCGAACAGTTCTTGGAATTGAACCATTTCAAGATTTGCTAAATTTGTATTTACAGACATTTATTAAATCCCAATAACATAAATCCTAGAAATTGCCAAACAGCCCCTTAGTGTCAATGGGATTTGAGAACCAAAGATCGATTTATGGATGCATTCAGTTCGGCTGCCAGCAGAATTTGTGGCAGTTTATCAGGTTCCTTTTGGGTTTGAAAAGTATCAGTATTTTTCACAATTCTACTTCATTGGCAACGGCCAATAAGAAAGCTGCTTTCTGACAGCACTGCAGATGATGCTAGAAAAAACAGAAAATCTAGTTCCCTTAAACCAACACTAGCGACAGTAATAACATCAATGACCAAACAAAACTATACTATCGGGAAAAAGATTTACAATGAACCTATTAAAAAATGCACAGAAATTAAAATGCAGCTTATCATATTGTTTCCGGTCACTTACCTAAGGTACCGTGATGCAGATTTTCCTACATGAAGGCTGCAAACAACAAGGTTGGCAAGAGTCTCCGCATCTTTTGCATCCTTTACAAATCACAGAAACAATACTCTTACCTTAACAATAGCACAACCTCTCATGCAAAAACAAGATTATAATGCCCTATAAAAGCCAAGCACAGCCAATATGATATATAAAGGCTGACCTTGTTTAGTGCTTCAAGCAACAGAGTCTCAGCTTCATCAAAGCGTCCCATGTGCATGCAACATACGGCCTTTCCATTAAGAATCATCCCAGTCGTTTGATACTTCTCAGAAAAATCTTGGTAGATAAGATAACCTTCCTGAATTTTAGAACCACCCTGACAAAAGGCAGAAAAGGATCAATGAAATGAAAGCATAAAACATCCAGCAATAGAAATAACAGAAATCAATACTAACGACTGCGAGATTAAACCACGCATTAGCCAATTGTGTTAACGTATGGTCTTCATCAATTTGCTGCATGAGCTTTAGTTGTTTCTCTGCATAGTCTGACCGGTGCATCTTGATATATATCTGAACATTCAAAGCAAGCCTGCAAACAAGTCATTCAATTAAAATACAGAAGGATTTTGTATTTTAGTTTAGGTAGTAAATTAGGATGTTGTGCAGCATGAGAGTTCAAGTACAAAGGCAGGGTTGACTTTTTTGGAGATTGACCTTTTTGGCAAGTGTTCCCACTTCTCGAAGTACTCGGGGCTTTGAAATAAAAAGATGAATCTCTTTTCACATCACCATAATAAACTTGGATGGAGGATTACTTGAATTACCAAAAACCCTAGCTCAAGACCCTGATACATTAACACCCATCTCCCAATGATGGAATCATCAAACACAAATTTCTAATTGATGTAAATCCTTCATCCAACACCTACACTCTGCAAGCCAAATCCATCCTATATATATTGCTCGAGTAATAATTGGTTGCTCCATGTTAAAAATAGACATCCATCCAACCTCCACATCAACTTGCTAGTTCAAGTTCATTTAAAGCTCACAAAGGCGCCTACCCTAGACCAAATTGTCCATATGATCACACGTAAAAATCTCATGGCAATAACAACATTCAAAACCTTTAGGGCTAGTGATCATAATTGAAACAAGCTAGTAAACCACAACTCGAGTAAAGAGCTTCGTAGTAATATTCCCTAATGGTTATGTGTATGAGTTGGAAGCCAAACGTTCTTAATAGGGAATGAAACTCCTATCTTCATTGAGATAGGCCTTGAATTGGCTTCCTAAAAATAAAGCCGTTCTCCCAGGCATATGAGGTTCACATGAATGAAGCCACCTATGGCTATTGATAAGAATTGTCTTGTTAAGCTCAAGTCCATTAATAAAATATGCAAGGATTGATGACACCAAGGGGTATTTAAACACCAGTTTTTGATCAAGTTTGTTATAATGTCACGACCATTTAGTTTCAGCCGATAGCAACTCTAATCTATCCCTAGGCGGCGTTTGGCTGCAGCTGTAGATTTACATTATGTAGGATTTATTAAATCTGCAAAATCTGCCAAAGCTCGCGATGGAGATGGAGCACGCGAGCAAAGGCAGAGTAAATCCGCAAAATCAGCCTCATAATAGGATTTGATAAATCTGAATTTACATTGAAAAGGAGACGGAACGAGCGAAAAAGAAATTGAACGGGAAAGTGTTGGATTTAACGGAGAGTTGGATTTAGTTTTTCCTTTTTTGGTGTTTGACTGGATTTAGGAGAAATTCATGGCTAAATCTTGTTAAAAGTGTGCTACCAAACACCCCCTACATACAAACAGTAGTGGATTAGAACATAAGAGAGGGTATCACAACAAAATATTGTAAAGCCTAAAAATTAGTATTAATCAAAACTCAAAATTTATGTTTACAAAAATCAAATTTGTAGTTAATCATGAAGTCTTGCATCTCTAGAAAAGCTCAAATAAAAAATATAAGTCCGATATGAGAAAGGAAATAACCTCCTGAAAACTCAGCCTAAATCATTCTATAAACATAAAACTAGGTCATAATATTCAGATCTCATAGTAGTAATCCAAATACTATCATTAATACCGTGTTGCACCATCCAAGCAAAAATAAGACTAAAATTTTGAAGGAATAGAAACAGATAATAATGTGTTGTTTGCATCACATCAACTATATCAAACAAGAAAAAAGGGCTCAAAAGGTCATATATACACCTAGCTCCTATTATAAAAAAAGTACAATATAATACCGAATAAGCAATAGAAAAAATTTGAACGTAGCCCGAAAAAAATAAGAAAATGAAGATTGGCATGTAAAATATAAGATAACAGCACTTACAATTCCATAGTTCCTCCGGCGTTCGTATGTTTAAGTGCCTCATGGTAGTCTAGTTCATGCATGTATATGATCCCAGCAACTAAGCGAAGAACTGGATTATTTCCTATTGCCGCATCACTTAACCAGTCACGGAGACTTGAAATTGCAGAATCCTTCGGAAGCAGAACAGATATGGGTGAAAAAATCAAAATTTAATTGTCAGAAAGTTTCTATAAATAAAAGTTTAGAAAAAGAGTTTGAAGAAACAGAAAATATTATTTAATGACAAAATTCTTCCCAGGGACTTATTCATTTTTATATAAATAGAAAAAAGGAAGAACATAAGTGGTGAAGAAAATACTTACAATTACAAAGAAACTTACACACCAAGCAAAGATCATTTCAAATGGACACGAAGCTAAGCAGGCATTCTGTTCTTCTTTTTTTCTTTTTTGAAAGCCAACATTGGTATACCAGGTTTTAAAATTTTATGAAAATAGCATGATAATAATGAAGGTTTACCATTGAAATATTTATTAATATCATCGAAGAAATATTAAATCTCCTACCTTAAACCATTTTGTTGAACCAGATCACCAATGACAAAATGCACATGATTTATTAAGGTTATAAATTCATGACGCGTTGCTTAAAACCATGGATATAAGTATCCAATAGGATTTTTCTTGTCTAAATGTACAACTAACAAATTTATAATAATACTCTCTGAAAGGTTTCATAGAAATCATCCCATGCCCATCCAAAAAAATTATAGATTCATATATATAATCTCATGCTTATCCAACATCAGAAATTATACTGCTAAAGGTTCATAAATTAATCGACAGGAATAGTAAATGGCTGTCTGATTCAAAGAAGTATCTAACAAATACTTAAAAGTTAATGAAATTATATCATCATATGCCTTGCAAAATTTTAAACTTATCTTCGAGTATAGTCCCAACAAACAACTTTACTCTTATCTGGGCAAAAGGACCAGAACACCAACACGTGCTTGGCTTTGGTATCTTTAAAATGGAGATCTAAGGTTCCAACCCTTCAAAGAGAATATTAATAAAAGAATAGAAACTGCCTCTAGTTTCATACAATCAACTAAAATTGATCGTGTCCCCACCCTCTCTAACATTTGATGCCCATGGCCCTACATCACCACTCTCAACCACATTTTTGCTGCTCTGTTGCCCAATCAACAACAAAACTCAGGTGAAAGATAAAGGTAAGCAGGAAAGCTCAGATATCAAACAAAGGCTAGGGATTCATGTATATGATTCTATAAGGCTGTTTTGGTTCCTATTTACTAAACTAATGAGGATAAGCCACGTAATGCATCACATAAATAGAATTTAAAAACAGCCTGCTAATGAATTACATTTTGTAGTATATCAATAGAACAAAAGCAAACTTCAAGGCATCTAAGGAAAAATTTCCAAGTTCCCCGAACAACAAATCTAGTTCTAAAGAGTTGTGAACCAAATTGTAAACAACCTAACCTCAATCACAATCATCATCTGCCTTACCCAACTATTTGGGCAACTTTAAGAATTATTATTTTTAATTCATCTTTATTAAATCCGTAGAAGGCATTAACTTTATTTTGCACATCTTTCTATACAGATTCTAGATATTAACTTAATATACACCATTTTAGTTTTTATCGTTCATATTATCTTGTTATCTTACCCTTACAAGTTTACTTTTCCCTAACAAATTTTTGGTGGCTAATCATTATTCTATGCATTCTTTCAAGTTCTTCTAATTGCAGTTCATAATCAAATCGAAAATATTCCTTTATCAAATATTTCCTGAGACACATCTCTACTTGAACAAATCAAACTAACTTCTAAAAGTTATATCCCCGTCTAGATATTTAATCTTCTAGATCATAGAATCACAATATTTAAATACATTACATTTATGAATCCTTTTAACCTTTCAAAAAATAGATGTATAATCATCAATTTTACATATAATATATTCAATATTTCTTTTATTAATATCAATTACTTGTTTTCACAAAAAAATTTTAGTGTTTTAACTTTAGCTTAGTTCAATTAATCACTCACCAATTAGAATATGTTATTTGCAAATAGCATACACTAAAGTAGCTCAATTTAAATATCATTTGCAAACATCTCCATAATGAATAAAAAAAGAAAAAAACTCACAATGGTCCTTCATGTAATCCCATTGAAAGCAACTCTTTCATCATTTCATAACTAAATTTAATGCAAACATTAACACGATGATCCATTAAACATGTCTTAAATAACTCCAACATGTCATTGCTATACACCTTTCTTTAATGTGAATTGGATTAACTGTTGAATTATTCGATAAAATGCCATCTTAAGAAACAACAAGATCCTTTTTTCTCCTCATAATTTGCTCATTAATTTTGTAAACAAAAACAAAAAGCCTTATGATGGATCTTCTGGCAAAAAATCAAATTGAAGTAATTTTTAAGCCAATCACAAATCTCTCATATAACTTCATCATACAACTCATTACCTGTTTCGCCCAAAATGATCATAATCATGAACATCTTATTCTATTTTACTAGTAACTTAATGTTTTTTCTCTAGTATTTGACAACTTAATCTTTAAAAATTAATTGAAAAAAATTATTAACCAAACTATTTTAATATCTAACAAAGCCTCCACATTGTAGTACATGTCACATTTCAGCCTAAAACTTTACCTTTACAAATTTTCATTACCAGCATAAAAAAAATGAATCTTCCCAACATAAAATCAAATTGTTTCTATGACACCAAAATGATTTTCCAAGTGTATCATACAATTTAATAGCTTAATTGACCAATAATTATCATAATCATGTGCATCATCTTTATTCTATTTTACAAGTACCTCAATGTTTCTTCTCAAACAACATCTTAACCTTTGAAAATTAATTGAAAAAGCTTGTTAACCAAACCATTTAAATATCTCACAAAGCTCTCCAAATCATAATAAATATCACATTTCAATGTAAGACTTTACATTTATGCATCTTCTTTTGTTCTTCAGAGCATACACATTATCGCTTTTATAGGTCAATCTACAGTATGCTTAATGATTATATTCATTTTATACTTAAAAATTAAAAAAAAAATCTAAAATGATCAGTTAATAATTACTCTAAATAATATTTTTCTCATTCCTTGATCTGCATCATTAACTAAGAACCCATTATCTTTATTTTTTACAACAATCAACTTAACAAAAGTCTCAAAATAACATTTTTCTCATTCCTTGATCTCCATCTTTAACTAAGATCCCATTATCTTTATTTTCACAACAGACAACTTAACAAAGGTCTCTATAGAAACCATATCCCTTGTCATTGTTATTTTTGTATCTCTTCTTCTTCAACTTCAGTATTTATATTTAATTTTAAAAAAGCCTTAGTCTATCACATAACAAGAGAATTGTTGACATTGGCTTTGTTTAATACCCTTTGGCAAGCCATTTAGCTTACTTGTACTCTAATAAAAATAAGGAGTTCATATATTTTTGTCACTCTTTAAAATTATGTTTATCTTCCTCAATAAACTTAACCTTCTCATTCCAACACTAGAACTCCTTATATCAACTCTACTTCTACAGTCTAATAAAAGCTACATGAAATTCCTCTTAATGCAACAAGCCATATTGTCCTATGTCATCTTTGCTTAAAGCCTTAAACTATAATATTTCAATTTGCCATTCTTAATAGCCTAAATCAAAAGATTAACAAATTCTCATATTCTAAATTCCACAACTACTTCTGATTTCCTTTTTTATACTTCCAACTCAAATATGCACATTCATGACTAATACTTTATATTGCACACAGCCAAACCTTCACTTGATTCTCCTTCTAATTTCTACAAACATTTTACTTTCTTTATAGCCAAATTAAAATCTATTTGTGATTTGATAACCCCACTTTTGAATGTAAAAAAGCACTCTTCATAGTAGTTATAAAGTATGCATTTAGTATGAAAAGATCACATGCTAATGGGATAGTTTCCCATATCACATTTCTATATCAAAGCCCATAAAAAAAGCAATATTTAATGAATAAGGCTCCCACAATTGCTAGATACTAGGGCAGGGTGGAAGCTTATAAATCAAGATCTACTCCTACGTAAATCAACTATTTTTTTAGAGTTAAAAGTATAATCTCCCTATCACAATAGAAGCAATATAACCAATTCTAAAGGCCCGCCCTCTTACAAGTGCAGTAACCATACCAATAAGCATTTACTCCTAAAGTATACATCTCTTCACAAAATTGATTTGAGTATCTTCTAATTCAACTTGAGAAGCACAAGCAGTAATAGGAATAAAAATCTCCCAAACAAAAATAAGCTTGCTAGCAATCACCATGTCAAAAACACTATTTTCCTCAATTCATCATTAAACTGTATCCACTAGTAACCCTTCCTCATTCCATTTATAATTTTGCCAACTTTAAATAGCTTATAACCTTCCCAATTGAAATTTTTACTTTTCCATTTCGCTGATATAGTAATAATTTATTCTCAATGATGTCCATTAATTATATAGTCTTCCCATGTAACTACTCAAATTTCAAGTCAGAAAAATTTATACTTCGCGACCTACTAGTTCTCAGAAGTCTATTTAGCAATTTACTCGGATGAAAATTAAAACCCCTAAAGATTTATGTTGACAAGCAGATATTCCTTAACCTTCTGAAGTACAATCTGAATGTTAGTCTGGCCTCTATTTTCAAAGATCACAAATTAACCATACCCATTAACGCATTGCTAATTTAACATACTAATACCTAGGCAAAACTAAAGTTAAAAAACTAACAACTTTGATCTTACACAAATTCTTTCCAAGAATCCACTGCAGCTGTTGCAATTCAACAACAATAGCCAGTATAATTTATCATCAAATTTAAATTATTTGCAGCAGAAAATTCTGATTGATCCATAAGCTACTCATATTCCGCATCGTACAACCAAAATCCTCGACTTCTAAGGTCCAAAGTTCCAGATCTGGGCATAACATAGCAACAATCTAATAAAAAAAAAACCACGAACCTTGTTGCCGGATAAATAGATAGCGAGCAACTTGACGGCTTGCAGCGCGGTCGGCGCAGAAGAATCGACCTCATCAATTACCAGCTGCGCAGGAAGATAAAGACAATTTCAGAGATATCAAATAATCGAAAAGGATCAAGCGATGCAAGGTCGGGAGACGTGTAGAACCTGGTAGGAGCCGAGCGCGATGTAGGAACGGTAGACGAGGGAATCCCGCTCGATCGCCTCGTCAGTGGAGAGATGAGGAATGTCGCTGTTATTGATCGCCGCCTGGTAAGCACCAATGTGGAAGTTATTGCGAAGGCCGAAGAGTAGATCCGGAGAAGTCGAAGCCATTAGCGCTCACAGAAAGCAGAAGCAGGGAGAGGAAGACATGGTTTTCAGCAGTAACCTTATGCATTTAATAAAGATAAAAAAAAAATACCCTGAATTTTTTCTTTTCTTTTTTTTTAAAATATTTTTTTAAATGTAATTATTATTTAAGTAATTAAAAATGTCTTAGATGATTTAATGTTTTTTAATTATGATTAACAATTTTAAACAAGTATTAATGCTTATACATTTTAAGAAAATATGTTTATAAGATTAAAAATATGATTAAAAGGTGATTTGTATTTTCATTATAAATTTTATTTTGATAATTCTATATAAATATTTCAATTAAGTTTTTTTTTTCAAGAATGTGATTATATTTTTTTATGAGAATAAAAAATGTTTGTGATGAAATAATTACTCATTTATTTTTAGAGAAATTATTTTATTCTACTTACAATCTAATTAGTATAATTAAAGTTTATAAAAGCTAAACTTCAATTACTATATTTTTACTTAAATTGATTAAATAGAAATTATTTTTATTAGTTCAATAAATTGTTATTTAATGATTTATTGATATATTATCTTATGCTAATTAATGGCAATACAATAGAAAGCTGGTCTAATTAAATTCTAATCAACATTTAATCTGGTTAGTAAATTATTATTTAATGATTAATGTGATAGATTAATAAAAAATTAAAAAAATTAAAAAAAATTAAACTATCCTTGATAAATAATTAATATATTATAATCGATCTAATAGAATCTAATTCTTGAAATAAGCTGCCAAACAGTTCAACATAATTTAATCGTAGTTAATCTTCATCATGCCAAATTATATTTATTTTTAAAAGATTTAATTAGTTTATAATTTTTTAAATAAAAATTACAGCATTTATTAAATCTAACTTGAGTTAAATCTTAATTGCAGCCAAACCACTACCAAGTACTTGGAGATTTTCTTCTATGAAGGATTAATGGGTGAAATGTTATTTACATTTCAACTCATCCACACCCTTAGCTCTAAAAATTAATTTTCTCATATCTAATATAAAGGAACATTTACATACATACCACCAAATTCCAATGTATATATCTAACATATAAACTATATTTTTTTATTTGGTGGGAAGGGGTGTACTTATTGGTTTGGCCGCTGCCATACCAGTAGTTTGAAGAAGATCAATGAGGTAGGTAGTTTGATTAAATAAAATACCCATTGGACATTTTTTGTATATGCAAACAGAGGAAATGAGATATAGGGCCAAGTTGTTTGAGATTGAAGTTCATGCTGAGAGTGTGGGTGAGTTTGGAAATAGCTGGAGAAGAGTCTCTTGTTATTAACATGTCATCAACATAAATTAAAAGATAAATGTGAATATTATTGTGGTGGTATATTACTAGGAAAGAATCAGCAGTGTTGAGAACAAAATGTTGTATTATTGACGTTGTACTTATTTAAGTTTTTAAATGGCTTTTTTTTAATTTACAGATTTAATTAGAACATATAGAATTAGAAAAGCCTAGTGTTGAGTCATATAGACTGTATCCTTCAGTTTCCCATGTAAGAAAGCATTAAACAAGCAAGTTGTTGGATTTCTCATTGTTTTGTGGTGGTAAGGGTAATAAGCATTCAAATGGCTCGAAATTTCACAACCATACTGAAGGTTTTAGTATAGTCTATGCCTTGTTGTTGCTTAAAATTTTGAACAACAAGACGGTCCTTATAGCATGATATAGACCCATCAACATGATACTTGATTCTCTATGTCTAGATACATCCTAGAATATTTTGATGTGTGATGGGTGGTACAAGCTCCCATGTACCTTGTTGTTGCAGGCCATGAATTCTTCGGACACGGCTTTCCGTTAAGGTGGTAATTTGACAGCTTGTGTGTATGATGAAGGGGTTTCATTGTTGTTAGTGGTGTGATGAAGGTCTAGAATTTGTTTGGGTTTTAAGGTGCTAGTTTGATGTCAGGTGACCATGTGATGATGCTTGGGTTGGGTTGGTAAAGGAATAGAAGAGATAGGGTGACCTTGAGGTGGTGTAATGAGAGGAGAGGGATTAGTGTTGTTGTCAGAAGAAGATTGTGTGAGAGTTGGGAGTAGTGAGGGTTGGGGAGTAGGAATGGTAGCAGAGGTGCTTGTGTTAAGGGTTGAGGGAGTACTGTGAAGGGTGGATGTAGGCATAAGAAGAGATGGAATGTTATGAGTTTGGGTATTGGGGGAACAGATAGAGACCGGTGTTGAAGGTTGATTGTAAGGAAAAAAAAATTTCATTAAAAATAACTGGTCGAGATATAAAAATTTGGTTATCCTAAATGTCGAAGCATTTGTATCATTTAAGATGAGGACTATAGCCTAGAAATACACAGGGAGATGATTTTGAGGAGAATTTGCAGTGAATCTTTTGTGGTTTCCACGGATAACACAAGCACCCAAAGGTGTGAAGATTATGGTATTCAAATGATGAATTATAGATAAGCTGAAAGGGAGATAAGTTATTGGTAGTAATGGAGGGAAGTCTGTTAATAAGATAGTTAGCTATTTGGATGGCATCCATCCAGAAATGAAGGGGAAGGTTGGAAGCGTTGAGTAATATACGTGCAGTTCCTACAATGTGCCTATTTTTCCTTTTAGCTATACTGTTTTGTTCGGGAGTGTAAGCACAACTATATTGATGTTGAATTCCATTTTGTTTTAAATAAATGTTTAAGATGTGTGAGGTGTATTCACCCCCTCCATCTATCCTTAGAAATTTTATGTTAGCTTGAAAATTTGTTTGAAGCATTTTATGTAATAGATAAATTGTTGACTTGTTTCAAATTTATGTTGCATTGGAAAACACCAGCAAAAGCAAGAAAATATATCTATAAAAGTAATACAATAATTGTAACATCCTATGGAGGCGTGGGGGAATAGTCGCTAAATATCATAATGAATCATTTCAAACATAGTGTATACAGTAATGCGGCGAGAAAAAACAAGTTCGTGGCTTTTATTTTTGGCACAATCAATATAGAAATTAGAAGTATAAGTAATGTGAAGTTGGGGATGTGATCTAGCTATGCTATGGAGCACTTTTTTATGAGCGTGCCCCAATCGATGATGCCATAGACTGGAGATTTTCTTAATGTAAAGTGCAATGAGAGGGTATAACCCTTGATCAGCTTTTCCAGAAAGTAGAATCTTCTTGGTTGCTAGATCCTGGAAATAAAAATTGTTAGCACAGAGAGTAAGCTGACAATTATTATCATGTGAAAGCTTATAAACTGAAACGAGGTTATGGGAAAGATGAGGTGCTCGAAATAATGTGGTGAGGAGTAGTTTACTATCAAGTGTGGGGAGTATACCATTTCCCATATGTGAAATTGTTGTGGTTTGTCCATAAGCACTGCTACTTGGTTTGCACCAGTTTAAGTTGTTGGTTGTTGCAAGTTTTCTATGTGCGGTGTCAAATGTGCAATTGCTCCAGCGTCCAAGATCCATTCTTGGTTGTTGTTTGAAGTTGGTTGTTTAAAGCTTGTGTTGTGTGGCCTTGTATTTGAGATTAGTTCTAGGCCAACAGGTCAGGACTGTTGGTAGTACAATTTTTTAAAGGGGCTTTGTTCATTTGCTGGCCCCCTTTGTTTTTGTAAGCAACAAGAGCAGATTGTTGTGTTATTTTGTTGTTTTCTTGAAGTTTGTTGCATTCTTCACTATGCAGCAAAGAATAGAAATCCTCTAGTTTGAGGGGATGAAGTTGAGTTCTACTGGTTGTTTTAAAGCCTTGATGGTTGGGTGGTAGATCTTTCAAAATGTATAGAACTATGTCTTTGTTGTCTACTTTAGAGCTTGCAGCCGCAATATTGTCAACTAGGGTATTGATGTAAAGTATTGAGTCATAGAGTGTGGTTCCATAGTTATGTTGTGTAGTTCATTTTTCAGGTGAATAACCTGAGATCTATCGGTGGACTGAAATTGGCATTCTGAGTTTTGCCAAATTTCAGAAGTATGGTTAAGGTGAAGAATATGAGGTAGAATGTATGGAGAAATAGTAGAGAAGATTGCGGCTGCAAGGTTGCAATCAACAAGTTGCCATAACGAATGTTTTTTATTTTCAACCATGATCCCATTTTCATCTTGAATGAATTGTGGAGGAATTGGGAAGGTGTTGTCCAAGAAAGATTCAAAGCCATTAGCTGAAAATAGTTTAGAGATTTGTAACTTTCCATAGTTGTCAAGCTTTTGATGTGATAGTTGTCAAGATTTTGATGTGAGACATAAAAAATTTGAGAAAATTTGATATGCTAACTTCTTTTATCTAGTGAAGCGTTTGCTGGTGTAGATTTGCAGAGGTAGAGAAGTTGGGTTACCTTTTTGGCGGTTGAGCAAGAAGGCTCTGATACCATATGAAGAATAAATAAGAAAAAAGAAATAGAAAAGAAGAGGAAGAGGAACTCAAAAAATAGCCTGAAGAAAGACAAGTGGCACGAACTTAATTATGTTTATTCATCCTTTCTGTTCACTACATAACAAAGTAAACAACTCCCTTATATATATACATACAGGAGTGGCAACTTTGTAAATAGAAGCAAAGGGTAAATAAGTAACATTACATCTTTACGCAAGATAATAAAAATATATTCTTTCCACAAAATCCCTAAACCAAGCAGATACAACTTTAATGGAGCAGGAGGATCGTGGAGGCGAAGCACCTGCATGAAGAGAGGTAAAAATGCTTGATCAGGTATGATATAAGATCCAATTTCATTATATCCTCTTTAATACATACCACCTTATGTATGCACGAAAAGGTGTATTTTACTTTTTAGAAGTTATAAAAGTGGTATTTTTTAATGTGATATGAAAGATTGGAGTGATGTAAATGTAAAAAAATAAAGTTTAGATGTCATATACGCATATACGTAGAAAATGAGTAGTATATATGTAAATGCCCCTGACATTTAATAACTCTAACAGTGAAAGCCATACCATTCTTCTACAAGAGCAAAATTCCATATTTTAAATATCTAACTAAACTAAACCCAACATCAAACAGAGACTTCAAACAAAATGAAAGCAGGAACTCCCCCATAAAACAAAATTCTTACACTGTTTATGCAGCTAATTATAAGAAATTAATTTTATCCAAATGAAATTACAGGAAATAAACAGTACTGAGTCTATAAATCTCAAACGCAAGATGACAATTTTTATTATAAAACAAACAAACAAACAAACAATAAGTTTTTATCCCTCTAAATGGAGTCGGCTACATGAATCATTTTTCTCCATTGTGTCTATTGAGTGCATGTTGTTATTATAAAAAAAACGAGAAAATAAAATTAACTTAAGTTAAAGCTCCAGTTAAAGCACCTTATGAAGCTTCAAGCTGCAGCATCAGCAGGGGAAGCGTAGCTTTGAAGCACATGAATGGGATCTCCAATCTTCACAACCTTCTCCTTCAAAGTTGCCGCCGACAGGCTTTCCGCGCACACAAAGTTCATTCCGAAATACACCTGAAACACATTTCAAATGAAAATTATGAGAGTAGTAAACTCAACTCATACCTACAACTGATCAATTCAAATGTATTTACATATCTAACCCCTAACCTACAATTTTTACATATTTGCCATCATACCTATGCATGAAAAGATGTATTTTACTTTATAAAAGTTAAAAATAGTATTATTTTTATGTGATATGAAAGATTTAAGCGAAATAAATGTAAAAAGTAAAGGTGTTAGATATGTAAATAGATAGGAATTGTTAGATATGTAAATACATGGGAATTGGGTGATATGTATGTAAATGCCCCGATCAACAAACATTCATGAGCATTATGAAACTTAGAAACATAACAGTAAAGTCCATGTAAGAAGTGCAAGGCTTGTGGAGGAGTTGGTAGAGAGCATTCACTCTAATTAGGAGACTGAAGTTCAAAGCAAACTCTAACCACTAATATCTAATCTAGTTGGCATTAAGGCTAAACTTCCCCCAAAAAAGAGTCCACCTAAAATTAAACGAAACAATGTTCACCTTTGCTTTGTTTATCTTTCCCCTTTTCAGAGCTTTGTCTGTCCTGAACTTCATTAGAGTCTCAGTGGGCTCAGTGCCACCCGTTCCAGATTCCTGATTGATGGTAGGCACCTGGAAATAAAAGAGCACAAACTTCTTCTTTTTTCCCAACAAAATAATATTCAAATCCATATATCTATCTATCTATCTATATATGTATGTATGTATGTATGTATGTAATATATATATATATATATATTATATATATAGATATATATATATATAGAATGTATTACCTTGCAGCGGGCACACAACTTCACTCCATGAAATGCAATATTATTTAACTTTGTCACTTTCCAGAGGTCCTCTGAAAATGGTGCACATCCATCAACCAAAATACTGTGTGATCAACGGTTTTTTAAGTAAGAAGGCAATGAATTATAGTCAATATAAACTCAGGATCAATTCTTTATTCATACTACAGAAATGCCATAGCATTGTTCATAAAAAGCAGCACTTCAGAGTAGACAGTTTAAGTCCATTCTGCAGTTCATTCACATTATGAGGTTCTCTTTGCATTTACTTTGGGATTTCATCTTAGTTATATCTTTTCGGATTATCTCTAATTTTAAATTTGGCCATTAAATTCTAGCTTTCCATTGCAGTTGATATATACAACAGCCAAAATCATGTTTTTGGGGCCTGCTTACTTTGGCCTGAAGCGATTAATGGGTAAGGGCTCTTTCAGAAGCTCATTTAAGAAGTCTAGAGATCCCTGCACCAAAGGGTTGAATAATTTCTTAGATAGATATTGGTTGCAATTTCAAAAAAATCAGTAGACCGACCTGCGATATAACCAAATATGGATACCCATCACTAAACATGGCTGTGTATCCCTGAGCATAATCTGGATCTACAAATCTGCTTTCTGAAGCTGCAATTGCTCATTCAAAAAAACAAAATATTTACAAATGTTTATAGATGTAAAACTGATTTTTTTGTGAAATATCAAAAATTTTTTTTACAATAGAACAAAATTAATAGAAAAGAAACAAGATAAATGTTGAACAATCTGAGTTGTGCCAAAACTAATAAGCTAGAAATGCATCAAAACCATTGAGGTTCATTAGCATAAGGTTAAGATATTATATCAAAAAGAATGAATACCAATGAATTAGAATGTCATCCAACTGAATGATCAATGAGTCTTTGACAGTAAGTTTCGTTTGAACCTCACGCCCTTTGTTAAATTAAAAGAATACAAGTATAACACCGTTAACCAAGTGTTCTGAGGTATTGCATCATAAATATAATTAACTAAGGGGGCTAGCATTCTTACTTAACCTCGATGAAATGACTAAATAAACCATGTTCGATCCATAGCATTGTTCAAACGCACTGTTGATCCTCAAGTGAAACCTCATAGATTTATTTCCAATCAACCCACCATTATTAACTATCACAATGAGTTTACTTTCCACATTCAAAATGAAACATTTTCCTTTTCAATGTGAGGCTTTCTTGAAGCCCACAAACATAGCATCAAAAACTACCAATATTATGTACAAGATGGTTTGAATTGGATAAATAGAAGCCATTAAATGCACTAATAAACACACGATAAACACACACACCACATCTTTAATATACCTAATTTATCCTTGGAGCTTGAGTTGTGATAGAAATAGATATTTTCAAGCCAACAAAGACACCATAAAACCAAATATCATATCGTTGGTATATAATATAGCCTTGCACTTTTTAAATATAATAAAACACAACTTACGGGTATTGAAACGCACTAAACGGCTTGGTTTTCCGAGATACTTCGTAAACCATTCAGAAGCTTCATCTCCTTCATCAAATGCAGTACCTGACCACTCCCACACAGATATTCCATCTACCACATTGCACTCTCTATTAAGACAAACCTTTAATGGGTCCATGTCGGGGGCCCTTAATACTGCAAGAGAGAAAAAAAATAAAATATAACTACTAGACCATCCTGTATTCGGGGTGCATAAGAAGATACTCATGTATATATCCTTACATATCATATAATTCTAAATATAAAAGCTTGTGATAAAAACTATAACACAAAGTTACCTTAATGAAAAAGACGAGCAATAGATAAATAAAAGGCATACTCACTTTTTAATGATTAAAGATTGTTATATAGCCTAGGACAAAAACATTGACTGCATCTAATGTTACCACTCAAATAAAAATAGCTCTTTTTCTTTCCTACTCTTTGAATGCGTCTTCTAACCTTAATTGTACATGTACAAATCGCCTCAACATTATTTTTTATTAACTTATTTTCAATAAAATGTTATTTAGACTATTATTCTAATGTTCAATTCTCAAACTATCCTTCTTCAATCTTTAAGGTGTCTATCTTAAGTTTTGTTATACTCAACTTGGATATCAATGACTTCTTTGCAGCCAAATACACAGATCCAAACAATATAGATGACCTATTTATACTTTTATACAATTTTCCTTTTTAGTCTACATAGACTATCTTACAGTATAGTTCCTCCATTTTAGCCACACATCCCTAAGTCTAGTGTTTAATTCTCAGCCATACGCTCTTTCTTGTGCATAATAGATCAGAAATATATTTTTCTTATCACACATGGTATATTTATATATAGTACATATTTTATTCAATTAATTGCATATCATATTTTTCTTTTGGTTCTACTAATCAAAAACAGTTTACCTTCTATGTATTTTTCCTCTTTTGTTTTAACTTATCACTTATTTAGTCATATGTCACATTCATTAGAACTATATCATCTCTAAAAAGCAATAAACCAAGGTGCCTCCCTTTGAATATCTTTTCAAAACGCCTAGCAAACAAAAGAAGATACAAATTTAACATTGATCTCTAAATATCCTAATATAATCCCCTTTGATTGAAAACTCTTTATTCACTTCATAAATAGTTCTATGTAATATATCAAAGAAGCATAAATTTTATCATCTTTAAATATCATTTGATACTTAAATCTATCATGCATCAAGTAGATCATGATTAAATGGCCATTGATGGATAGGAATGGGATAAATATGTCCCATAACAGTGAATTATTAAATCAAAAAGTAAGAGATCTCAAGTAATGAAGAATCTCAGGCCTATTAAAAGTGCAAGAATGTGCGTTTTTATCTTTTATATGCAAAATAATATATGGTATAAAGAAATAAATTTATCAGAATTTTTAGTTAAATTGTTCTGCTAAATGGATTTGGTGATCTAAAAACCCTATGGGCAAAGTGACTAAATTAATCCAATGAACATAAAACAAAAGATTTGAGAAGAATTTTAAGCCTTATTGTGACATATGTTCTTTTAAGGCATGTTTATTCCATTCTACCAAAATCATTACTAGAGTTGACACTATCAACTTCAACAAGCATAGGCATGACTAAATGTGTCTGTCCTTTGCCATAAGAACATGAATTAGAATGTAGGACTAATTAAAGAGTATAGTAAAAAATTATGTCGCACCAACATGGACATTGGGACACAGACAAGGCACGACACGGACATGGGACTTATCTATTATTGAAAATATAGAACACAGACACGTGTTGGACATGCCGTCATAATAAAAATTATTAAAATACATGTATATATTAAATAAATAAAAGAAAACAGTTAATAACATTAGCTTTCAAAAACTAATATGCTCATAGATATATCTTTAGTTTATGACATACAAAATGCAAGAATAATAACATATATTATCTTGTATTACATCAAAATTTAACTATGTTAATTCATTAAAAGAAATAAAAGGATGATTGACTTTTTTGGCATGTACTTCTACTTCACGGTTCACATTGACTATCATCATCATTAAATATCATAGATTCCAACTCTGACTCATCAAGAGAAATGTTTGAATCTCCAAAATTCTCGTATTGTCGATGGTCTCAAATCCATCTCCTAAAAGATTCCACATCTAGTTATCACCTTCCATGTAATTTCAAGTCTTTCTTGGTAATAAACGAAGGTTAGTACATACATAAAATATATCCAGCTCGATGTGTACTTATTTTATTCCTATTCATTGATTGTATGAAAGAATAAGTGCTCCAATCTCTCTCTAAACACGAGGAGGAGGAAACTCGGAAGTTGAAGGAAGGAGGAACCGTGGAAGATGGCTAGACCCTTGGCAGACTGGACACGGGAGTTAAAATCCCAAAAGCTAAAACATAAAAACTAATACGAGAATAAGTAATAAATTAATAAATAATAATGGTGCATCCTGTATTCCCATGAGATTGAGTGTCTAAGTGATATTTAGTATAAATTTTGGGGTGTTTACACACACGCCACCAAATTCTTTTGTATTTACATATTTTACACTTAAAATTTGATTTTTACATTTATGCCACCCATTTATGCTTGATTTTTACATTTATGCCACCCAAATATTTCATATCACATCTAAATATATAAATCAAATCAAACAAAATACTTTTTTTTAATTTCTATACATATATATGGTGGCTAATATGAACAAATTAAAATTTTGATGTTAGATACATAAATACATAAAAATTGAGTGGTATGCCTCAAAATTATTCCTAAATTTTACAATTTTTTTTATTTTAATCTTAAAAATATTTTTAAGATTTTTTTTACTCATTAATTTAGGGCGCGCGTGTCAGAATTAAGGACACCCATTTCCAACACTTGTTTACCTTTCTTTCTAATATTATTTAATCAGGACACTTATGTGTCGTGTCAGATATGTCCTAGCCATGTCGGAGCCGTGTCTGTATCCGAGACGTGTCCGACATTGCATGACTCTTTAATCAGGAGTGTCCGTGCGACATAGGTAAAAAACAAATATCATTCTGAATTCAATTTAACAGCATATCCACTTTAGCAAAGTTGAAACAAGAAAGCTGAATAATTACTAGAAGGGGCATTTGCCTGCATACCATCCAATTCTTATGTATTTACATATCTAATATTTAAATTTTACATTTTACATTTACACCACCTGCTCAGATCTTTCATATAAGATCAAAAATACCACTATTTTAACTTTTAAGAAGTGAAATACACCATTTCATATATGTAAAAAATTAAAGTTTTGGTGTTAGACATGTAAATACATAGGAATTGAGTGGTTTGCATTTAAATCTTCCTTCAAAAACAAAGACATATTCATGACAAACACATCAAATAGAACCAAGCAGTAATGGATTAATAAAGCATCACATATAAACAAATCCAATAATGAAGGGAAGAGACAAGTGAGATATATATACCCATATATGAGCTATCTGAAGATTTCCAATTGAAATCAAAGGCACCTGGTGGAAGCTCTGGCTCAACTAAAGCTAGCTTTGGCTCCACCCTTTGAGTGAATGCTCGCCCATTTGAATTGACAACCATCCACTGGCGATCCCACCTAAAACCTGATTTTAGTCAAGGAAAGTATTCAAAATGCTTGTTCCATTAACTGAACATCTTATGTATGGAAATCCTACGTAACACATTACATATCATTTAAATGTCAATAAGTAGAAAAATTTTTGCCGACCTTACAAGGATGTCACATATCCACACTTTTTTTTAAGATAGAAACATATCCCAAATTTTTTATGGGGCATTTACATACATACCACTCAATTCTTATAAATTTACATATCTAACACCTAAACATTCATATTTACATGCATAACACTCAGATCTTTAACATCACATCAAAAATACCACCATCACTATTTTTTTAAAAGTGAAATACATTTTTTCATGCATAGATTTATGATACCAAACATGTTACAAGTATAAGTATCAAACTTTGAGTGTTAGATATGTAAATACATAAGAATTGTCTGGTATGTATGTAAATTTCCCATATTTTATTTATTGAAAATAAACCATGACACCTCAAGGAGCTAGCAAGCATTTAATTTAAAGATCGCAAGCAATACTTAATACCATAGGAATCAAGAAGCATATAGCTTGTGCTATAACATTTTGGTACATTTGCGCACACGTTAAAATAATAAACTATCCAAAAATAAAGAAATGTGTGTGCCCATCTCGACGTTAAAGCACATTTAGATCTCTCTTCTTCTCCAAGTCAATATAATTCATATTGAACTTCACTATAAACATTAGTATGGTGCAATATATCTCATAATTTTAATATGTTTTAATTATGCAACAGGCATATAAAAAGAACACCCAAGTGAACGATATAAATAGAGAGATAAAAGACTCATTAACTTTATGTAGCAGTCGAATCAAATGATTTTTTTTTTTTTGTCTAGTATACAAAGACCATTTATTTCTAGTTATTATAAAAAAAAAAAAAATGTATTAAATGAAATTTTAAAATAGAAATAATCAATATTAAATTAGCATATATTATTTTTATTTGAATTCCTAATTAGTTCATTTAAGTATTAATTATTCTAATTAATTCCTATTTAAATACTAAATAATCTAAGTTACTGCCATAATCACAAGTTAATTAATAAATTATTTAATGTTCAACTAATACTATAAGTGATTAATAAATATTGAATTGATCGAAATCATGTTTATTTTATATTTTAAATCATAATGACCTTAAATACAATTATATTTCATTCCTAATTAAGCATAATAAATAGTTAACCATAATTTAGTATGCTTAATAATTGATAATTTAATTAGCCATGCCAAATTATTGTAATTAAGCAACAATTATTGTTTAATGAAGATTACAAACCTTATTGATATGTTGATAATTTGGCCATAGATATTATTTGTATTTTGGTACTATATATGATAAATTTCACTTTGAAGAAGGTTTATGTTGCTTTTGTAGGTAGTAGTAGGAAAGGGGACCAACGGAAATCGAACTGTAGAAGAAGGAACAAATGTTGTGTTTGGCGTCTAGACGCCAATCACTTCCTATATGAAGCACAAACAAGAGAAGACAAAAAGGTTGTACAGCATCATGGGCTCCTAAGCGTCGCGATCACGGAGTGTCAAGTTTTTGTAGTCGTTGTCGGGGAACGAAAGTGAATTTGATTTAGAAAAAATTTAGTTGAATTTGTAGTTCTTTGACTTGAAAATTGTATTATCTTATGTTCCCTGCAATAATATAGTTTTGTCTTTGTTATAAAATTTCAAAAATCCCCTATTTAATATTTGCTTAATTGTGCACGTGATTCTTATATTTTTACTGCATGATATTTGTGGTGTGCTTCTATTTTGTTTGTTGGTTATTCTCTTTTGCCTAGAGTCTATTTGCTAGTAAACCTAGTTAGTGTATGCGTAGTGCTAGATGGTTAGACCTTGAACCCTACGACTCTGAGCTTGAGAGAGCTACTAGAAAAATTAGAAAACAAAAAGAACTTCAACAACCTTTAGGAGAGATGACGAATATTCCTCAGAATAACCTAGAGGCCCCCGAATATCAAGACATGCCTAGAGCTTTGAGAGACTATGCAAACCCTACGGTAGACAAAATTCATCTTAGTATCCATAACACTGTCGTAGAAGCCAATACCTTCGAACCGAAGCATGTCATCATCTAAATGGTGCAGAACAATCATTTTGGGGGTACACCTTCGAAAGACCCTAATCTCTATTTAGCGAGTTTTTTATACCTCTGCACCACATTCCGCTATAACTAGGCTAAAGCTTTTCCCTTTTCTCTTTAAGGCATAAAGCCAAAATGTGGCTAAACTCCTTAGCTCTTGGATCAATTAGGACTTGGAATGAGCTTGCTCAAAAATTCTTAGTGAAGTATTTTCCACCTTCTAAAACGGTCAAACTTAGGAATGACATTACTTCTTTTTGCCAACATGAAGGTGAATCCATTTATGAAGCATGAGAAAGGTTTAAGGAACTCCTTAGGAAGTGTCCCCGCCACGCATTACTAGGTCGGTTGATTATTCAGACTTTCTTCAATGGAGTGGTAGGATCTTTAAGGTCAATCATCAATGTTGTTTTCGGTGGCTCCTTATGTCAAAACTCATTGATGAGGCATATTCTCTAATCCAGGAGATGACAACGAATAATTTCTAATGGTCTTATAATAGAGTGACTCTGGGAAGGTAGCTAGCAAACATGACACCGATGTTCTTTCCATTTTGACTTCCCAAGTGGCTGCTATCTCTAGAAAATTAGACCAACTAGACTTGAATCAGCCACAAGGATCGCCAGTCATACAGGAGAATTCATATAGATAATTGGTGGATCCTAGTGCTTTGTCTCTTGAGACCCTGAATGCCATTAACAATAAGTTTAATAACCCTTATTCCAATACCCATAATTCCGGGTGGAATAATCATCACAATTTTAATTGGAACATAATAGTGAAGGGATGGAAAACCAGTTGGGAGAATAATCAAGCAAATTCATTAGGAAATTAGAACAATCAAGGTAGTATCAATTCTAGACCTCCTTACCTACCTAGCTTTAACCAAAATCAATAGTTAAAGGAAAAAAAGTTGTCTTTACAAGAAGTGGTATTGCAGATGGGGAATCAACTGCAAAGTCAAGCTGAAAATTGAAAATCAGTTGGGCCAAATAACAAATTCCCTTAATAACCGACCCTAAGGAACTCTTCCTAGTAACACTGAGGTTAATCCAAAGGAGAAGAGTAACGAACATGTAAAAGCCATTAAGTTGAGAATTGGAAGAGAGTTGGAGGAAGCGAGTAGGAAAGAGCCTGAGGTGGTTGAAGAAAACCCTGAGCCTGAAAAATCAATAGAAGACTCTTTTAAAGACTTAAGAAGACCGACCACACCCCTTAGAAAAAACGTAGAAAGATCACCCTCACTATTTCCCCAGAGACTTCAGAAGCACAAATTGAATCAACCGTTTTCCTGATTCCTAAAAGTGTTTAAGAAGTTGACTATCAATATCCCTTTTGTCGAGGCTTTCGAGCAGATGTCTAGATATGCGAAGTTTATGAAGGATATTCTAAATAAAAAGAGAAAACTAGGAAATTTTGAGACTGTAGCATTTAGCGATGAGTGCAGTGTCATCATACAAAAAAAATTTCCTCATAAATTTAAGGACTCTGATAGTTTCACAATCTCTGTGTTTTTTGAGAGAAATTCTTTGGAAAGGCCTTCTGTGACTTAGGTGTCAGTATTAACCTCAATCCTTTGTAGATATTTAAGATGTTAGGATTAGAAGAAGTCCAGCTTACCACTGTAACCCTTCAGCTAGATGACCGGTCTCTTACCTATCCCAAAGAGGTTATAGTGGATGTCTTAGTTAAGGTGGATAAGTTTATCTTCTCTGCTGATTTTGTTATTTTACATATGGAGAAGAATAAGAAGATTATCATCATTTTAGGCAGACCTTTCCTAACCACTGGTAGGACGATGATTGATGTACAGAAAGAAGAGTTAACTATGATGGTGAATGATCAAAAAGTTAATTTTAATGTTTTAAAATCTATAAAATTCCCTTTTGAATCAAATGAGAATTCTTGTTTTATGCTGGATTTAGTAGACCGACTTAGTAGAAGTTAATTTCAGGAAATTTGTCAAATTGATCCAGTTGAGCAAAAGCTTGATTGAGAATGATAGACATGGCCTTAAGGAAGAATCAACTCTACTTTTAGAGGCCAGTCCGAGGATTTACAGGAAGAGGTTTGAGTTGTTGGATACCACTGGATATTATATGCCTTTAGTCCCTTCCATAAAAAAAATCGTTTGAATTAGAAATGAAAATTCTTCCTAAATATCTAAGTATACTTTCTTAGGGGAGTCATCTACTTCGTCTATTATCATATCCTTAGAACTCAATAGTTTACAAGAGGAAAAATTGATGAGAGTTTTGAGGAGTTTTAAGAAAGCTTTTAGATAGACTCTAGCAGACATTAAGGGGGTCAGTTCTTCAATATGAATGCATAGGATCCTTACGAAAGAGAATTATAAACCTAGGGCAGACACTCAAAGAATACTCAACACTGTTACGAAAGAAATTATTAAGAAAGATATAGTGAATCTCAGATAGTGTCTGGGTTAGTCCTATCCATTGTGTACCTAAAAAAGAGAGAATAATTGTTATAGTGAACGAGCAGAACGAATTAATACCTACTAGGCATGTTACTGGGTGACGAATCTGTATTGACTATAAAAAATTAAACTCAGCCACTAGGAAAGATAAATTCCCCTACCCTTTCTTGACTAGTTGTTGGATAGACTAGGTGGTCACCCATTTCTCTGTTTTTTAGACGGATATTCAGGGTACCATTAAATTCTCATAGCTCTGGAGGATCAGAATAAGATCACATTCGCGAGCTCTTATAAGACTTTCATCTTTAGGAGGATGTCTTTCGGACTATGCAATGCACCGGCCACTTTTTAGTGTTGCATGATGTCTATTTTCTATGACCTGATTAAAAGAGATTGAAGTGTTTATGGATGATTTATCTGTTTTTGGTCTTTCGTTCGAT